TTCAGATTGAATTATTTAAGCATTAAAAATCTAGCTTTGACCGTTATAGCCATTACTTCTATTTCTTATTGTTGAATTTTCAAAAGTACAGTCTAGTAAGAATCTTATTGTTTATATTACACCTGAAAAAAAGACGTTTACATACACTGATTATTGCGAAGAATATTACAAAGGCTTCGATAGTCTAAAGCTGTCAGATAGTGGCTCGCGAGCCAGTCACTATCTGACAGGTTTGATCTAAAGGCTTAGGACGCTCACACGAAATGTTAGAAATCCGGATTCAATTCCGGCTGAGATAATGTTTTTCGCAATAAATAAAAGTCACATAAATCGTCATTGCATCTGGTTGATTATTCCAGTAGAACGACAACTTATGTGATGACTGGTAGGATTCTATCGCTAAGGATTCAACGCAATTTTGTAATTATCATGGATTTTTACTGAAGATGACTCGAACATGAGTCAAAACGTTCAAATAAATTGCAGATATCCACATATAAAATTTGTGCAACATTTACTTCATTCTCATTAGCCCATTCCTTACTATTTTCTAATTTTAGATATACAGGATACCCGACGAGACTTCTGCCAAACTTTTTGTAGATAGAGCGGACTAAACTGAGTCAAAAAGTCCTCTACCATTTTGCAATTTTCGCAATGATTAACGAAATATTAATTATTAAAAATTGTCGAATATTGGTCTTTAATAATTTTTCACTCAAATATTAGGTTAAGTAAAAAGTCATCGCGTTTTTTTAAAAGACATCTATCAGTAAAAACCGCAATTACTTTCTTACCAACAATATAAATATATCTTGATAGAGTAAAGTTTCAGCTTTAAAAATCTCTTTTTTAAATTATACGATACGACAATTTTTAATGGAGTTATGAGCAATTAAAGTCAAAATAATTCTTTTATTTAATCCGCGATAACTCAGTAATCAAAAGTCGTAGGAATATTTAAAAAAAAAATGATTTTGTAGGGAAAGTATCAAGCTTTCACGATAGGTAATCGAAAATTTTCTCAAATTCGTTTTGGACACGTTACAAATCCACAAAGTGAGAAGAAAATTTTTCGTCTTTTTCAGCTCGTAGTTTTTGGTATGTAAAAATTATCAAACTCATATAAACTTAAAAAATGTGATAAGCTTTTAAAAGTAGAGATTTCAAGCTTTAAAACCCTTTTTTAAATTTGAAATTCATTCATTATTGACGAAGATATTGTATATACAACTTTGAGCTAAAAAATACGCGATGACTTTTTACTCAACCTAATATTATCAACTTTACAGAAAAACAGCAAGAAATAAAAATTGCTTATTTTCTTCTCATAAAGTTCTAAGAATTTTTTCAGAATTTTTTAATACTACATTTCTCATGTTGGTAAAAATAAGAAAATGCAGCACTAAAAAGTTGATAAAAAATTCACAATCTGAATGGAAATTATCGATTAAGCATATAAACGACTTGATTGAACGGTTTAGTCCTTATTTAAATCCGATAATCTCGATCCGCCGCAACTTGCCGGTTCGTGTAACGGAAGACGATCAATCTCGCATCATGATATATCGCTACGCTTATCTTAGCGCCGACATTACCGTATCTCCAGGTATTACCGTTTGATGCATTTGTTGAAACTACAGCTTTTGTATGATACATTTTTTCAATAAATACTTTCTGAGATAAGTAGGTTTCCGTAGGCTTTTACACACACTGTACACAGAGTATATCCCATGGTAATTATGCAGAGATACGGACCACTCTCCGATGATCTTCATTTTAACATATGTTATCAAAATTATCACTTTGAGTGACCTTCAATAAGTTTTAACTGTTGCTCGTCATTAAAAAGTTATTACCAAAAAAAGTTTGAAAAAATAACGTTAATTTCTTTTTTCTTATTTCTGCTATACATAATACTAAAAAGTATTCTATACTGTTCCTTGCTTAAGGCAAAGGTGAGGATCTCGCTTTGCAAGGAAAGTAGTTTTTCTTTGTGTGGAAAGTAGTGCGCCCATTGGCAGGGAGGCAGGTGGAGTGAAATTCGTTTCACGTAAAAAGTTGAACGCACCTCTTTGCAGGAGTAGGTGAAACCCATTTTGCGTGGAAAGTCGGACGCTTCTGAAGGGAGGTGAGGTGAAAGTCACTTCGCGTGGAAGTCGTGCTCCCCTGAAGTAGGGGGGAAAATAGGATAAAGTCGCTTCGCGTGGAAAGCCATTATGTAAGGAAGGATATAGAATAGAATAGGATATAGAATTAGATATTATAGATAGGATATAGAATTTTTAATATTATATAGCAGAAATAAGATGTTATTTTTCAAACTTTTTTTGTTAATAACTTTTTAATAAATAACGAGCAACGATTTAAACCTGTTGAAGATCAATCAGGATGATGACTTTGACAACATATGTTAAGGTGAAAATCATCGAAGAGTAGTCCGTATCTTTGCATAATTAATGAATTCATTATATGTTAACAAAGTCATTTGCGACCGTGTAAGTTTTTCTTTTGTTCGCCCAGAAATCGTTCCCTATCTCTTGTATTCGAAAAGACGATCTTGAACATCAATACACTGATTTATTCTATTCTTAAGTAATAACTTCACGCTTTTGAAAGTTGTCTGACTAATTATTGGCAGGTATCTCTAATCCAATTCTTCATTTTTTTCAGGAAGAGTGGGTTCATTTCGGTAAATTTTATCTTTTATAAGGTTCTATAAGAAAAAGTCTAGAGATGTTAAATCCTGGAACTTTGGTAGAAAGAAAATCTTATTCCCTCTTCCTATCCAACGATCAAGAAATATGTTGAGTGTTTCTCGAACTTAGCGATAAATATCAGGCAGGGCATCATTATGCTGGAACCGGTATTCTGATGGCAAGTGAAAGTGTCCGCTAAAAAGACTTGCAGTTCATTGATCAGAAAATTATTGTTGTTCTGCTAGTGTACGATAAAAATGTGAGGATCCACAATGTGTCCACCTACTATACCACAAACATTTGACGACCATTGATCAGTACCAATACGGATTCTCATTAAACTAATAATAGAAATTAGTCAATTTAGTTACTCACTATTTTTTGATAGTAATTTCATCAGAAAAGAGTACACAAGAGAAAAAAAGAATCAACATAATATTGTCTACTGAGAGACCATTCACAAAACCACAGTATAATCAGCATCAGATGCTTAATGCAAAAAAAATCTAATAGGAGTGACAGTAAGGATCGTCTTAATGTTCTGGATCGCACTAGATTGCAGTAATAATTTTCTATCTGCCGGATACTAATATGAGGATTCACAGCCACTATTACAATATTCTTGTGAAGGCTGCTTATGATGTTGATGCAAATATTCTCATCGAGCATAAAGTTCACAATTTCGAATTACTATCAGTACTTCGAATTACTATCAGTACTTCGAATTACATCAGGTACTGACAATCTGAAAATCTTTCACAATACAATCATGCAGTTTCCATGTAATTATGTCGACATTCTTTCAAAATAAGAATCGACAATTTCATTAGGCATATAATAATAAGCCTAATTAAATCGCAACAAGGAACGCGTAATGCTATTCACAATACTTTCAGAGTGAATGCAACACGTTAGCAGCACATGTCCTCTGTTTGTAAACATAAGCAAAAACGATAGGTAAGGAAAATCTTCTAAGCGTTAAGCGAAAGAAAAACGATCATAGATAATCTTGAATATTCTTGAAAAGATAACGTATCATTAGTTAGTGAATTAATTAGGCTATACATCTAGCTAAACGAAAACTATAATTTCATTAAAAAAAATAAAGGTCATCTTGAAATCTTGGAGACACGGCCACCTAAAAGATTTGTGATTATCAAAAGATGTCCCTTTCAAAGTAAATTCTATTTAAAACATTTTCTGGAATAACAAATATTATGGGAGATTATTGCGTCCAAAGCTTCAAATGAAACAACAAAATGGAACTCTGTATAGGTAAACCAGTTTAATCAATACACGCGAATATCTCAAAAAGAAGAAATTTTTTCAAAAAATATATTAGATAAAAGTTGTATGATTTCAAGGGAGAAAAAAGACGATGACTTAGGTTCACCTTGATAAGAAGTCAGGTCCATGTTACACACAATTTTTTTAATGAAATCTCCATTTTTATTGCGATTCTTGTAGCTTATTTCAAGAGCTTTCCAAAACTATAATAAAGTATTTTTTCGTTAAATACATTTCGAGTTACGAGGTTCGAAAGTTACAGTACTGTCGGCATTTGCATTATCCATTTACATTATCTATTTGCATTGTCCAGTATGTTACATTATATTTTCGAATAATAAACTATATTTTTTGTTCTTTCTATTTATTTACGTATTTAAGTTTTATGCTCAGTCACTTTAAAGCTCTGCCACCTGGGTAATGCTAGGCTACGTGTAAGTGAGCCTGGAAGCTGGTTAACTATCAAATAGAATCAGTTTAAATAACAGATAGGAGCACACACACAGACACGCGCGCACGTACAGAGAGAGAGAGAGAGAGAGAGAGAGAGAGAGAGAGAGAGAGAGAGAGAGAAAGAGGAGGGGAAGGGGGAGAGAGGGAGGGTAGAGGAAGAAAGAGAAGCAGAAAATTATAGAGAGAAAGGAATGGAGAAGAGGGAAAGGAAAGAAGAGAGAGGGAAGAGAAAGAGAGAGAGAAATAGATACATATATACAGAAATTATGCAAGAGGTTAGAAAAATACAAAAATTCAAGAAATTAAAACAATTGCGTTTTTCTATACAATTATGTTCATATAATTTTGTACGAAAGAGAAGATTCTACAGAAAAATAAAATGAATCAAATAAAACGAACATTAATATATATATATATATAT